TTTACAAACCAAGAATCTTATCTGTCAACCAAAACTAGTTCTGAAACTTTTGTGTAATGCAGAAATAAACTCTGATAAAAGTTTTATCTGTATAAATTTTATTTAATTATCAATTACTATAATATGCTTCGTTTCAGTACTTCTATGCAGAACACAACACATTCAACCCTATCAAATGATTTTTATTTGCACTTATATTTTTGAAGCTAAAACTATTAAAGTTTATACAGTGGGATCACTACTGACGATATCGGTCGGTAGACTCTCCATTTAGTCTTCTTCATATTTACATTAGAATCACTCTGATTTTATATGTTCTGAATTATCTTCTTGAGCTTTAAATGATGTGCAACAAGTGTACATCATATACTGCTACCACTCAACAACAGACAAAAATTGTTACTTCAAAAAAATCGAAAATCTTACTGTCACTTATGAACTGCATTAAAGTACCTATTTTGAGATAACTCAAAGTTATTCATTAACTGAACTAATTCAGGAAATCATTATATCACAAATTTTACAATATTGTGATAGGATATACAGCATAGTCGTATCTTTATTACATTTTCTAGGTGCAATATATCAATTTAAGATTATGGTTTCAATGACTCCCGTAATCAGTATACTAAGTATTAAATAATCTGTTTACTTGTCACATGAAATAATAACTTCTTTCATTAATTAACCAAGTGATAATTCAAAATTTATCCATCACAATTTCCTCATTGTGCTTGTTTCATATTTAAATAGAAAAGTATACTATGAACAAAGTGAGATAAATATGAGTTTATTCAGAAAACTAATTATGATAGATAGAATGTTTTTGTACGTACAATGGCCAGGAATGATAATCAATAATCTTAAAACACAAATGCTTCACTGTCAAGGAAATAATCTTATTATTAATAATAACAATAGAAGAGTTCATAATGTATAAATATGTACAGAGAATGATCTAATTGAAATCATACTTAATAAAAAATCTCAAGTTATCAAGCATTTTATCCAGAATTATTTATTCATTATATAATGAAAACACCAAGAAATATTCAATATCATATCTGGATGTCATGATAAAGACAATGTATACTATCTTAAATATTCTTCATGATGATTTCCATTAATTAAGTTGTTGAGTTATTAAAAAGAGACAATTTTTAGTTTAAACACAGCACTGACTAGAAAAATTTCTTTTTGCTTTTTCCTAAAAAAAAACAATATACATCGTCTAGACTAATCCATAATTTAGCTGAGAAGAACTGAATTCACTAAAGTATATTTGATTGCATCACAATGATTCAAATTTATTCAGATGGATTTTTCACAAAACATTTATGATTTTAAAAAAACAAGTGAGAACATTAGCTTATTTATGTAAACTATAACTTACATACAATTTCACAACAGGTATTTGAAGTAATTTTATCTTATTGACAATATTCTCAATCACAAAACATTTAATATGTTAATTGATTCCCCACGGAGAAAAATTACTTTTTGACAACTATAAACATTGGTTGAAACTTTCTTAACAAGGACATTTATGAGCCTAAATGATACAGACAGACACACAAAGTAAGAAATACAGCAGAGCAAAAGTAGAATTCCGCACATGATGCATGCAGTTTGAAGCAAAATTCTTTATTGATTTCAAATCAGTATCAATCAATTTTTTTTTGCTACAAATACAATCATTGCGTATTCTCAAAATAATAAATACTAAATTGTTCAGTTGTAGTTGAAAACACTATCGACATAGTTAACGCAGTACATACAATATTGACATAAGTTTGAGTTTTTTAAACAGTTCTGAGTGATTTGGGTATTTTTTTTCTCTAAATGACAGTGTGAAATTAAAATTCTAGTAAATAAACATGTGTTGAATAAATGAAAATCAAAATTAAGCTTTATAAGTGGTAAAATAGAAAAGGCCAAGTTTTTCATTGAATATATAATATTACATACATGTACTGTTCAACAAAATCTCCTAATTATAACTTTATAATGTAAACAATACTTGTTAGTAAACTTATTAGTTAAATAAAATAAATCTGACAAACAATCATTAGTGAAAAAAAATAAATACACAATACAAATAAATATTTCGATGTACACAAGCATCACAACAAACTCATTACTGTTTTATTAATTCATCAATATGAATCATAAAAAGTAAAATAAATACTAAACAGTAAATTGAAAATTAGTCAATTTTATGATTTAATTTAGAATAATTCACACTCTTATTCTATGCTGTAAAATTTGATTTCCCAGAGAAAAATTAAAAAATCCATTCAACAATTCATATAAAAATAACAATAGATATAAAAAAAATAAGATAGATTTCTAAGAAACAGATCTATGCGTTGAATGAGTCTTAGATTCATCTATTTGTAATTGCATAACGCATGTTGACACTTTTTGAAAGTTTCCACTGAAAAAAATGAAAACGAACATCGACACTGCCGAGGGGATTCAAAGTTATTGATTGAAAGGCATGTTGAATAACATTGATGAGATAAAAAAAATAAATACCTAATTTTTTACAAATGACCTTATTAAGTGATAATTATGAATCATTCATTTAGTTATTACTTATTTTTCTATGCATCGTTTCGTCTATAAATCAGACAGATAACTAAATAAACAAATATGCTAAAACAGACTGTTATATACAGCAGTAATAATAATAATAATAATAGAAATAATAATAATTGCATCTGCGATTAATTAAAAGCTTAATTTTATCCCAAAATAGAATGAATCATTCATTCAAGTCATAATGTAAACTCAATATTTTTCTCCTGAGAAAATACATCTGGCAGAAACGCAATGCAAATTGATTATCTATTTGAAGAGGAAGAAATATTTGAAGAATTACTATTTACCTGGCTACTACTGTTTTTCTTTTTGTTATAGTTTTTAATACTGTATTTTTTTTTATATTTTCGATAGATGTAATGATGCCATATGATGGAGAAGACCAATGGTTAGACGTTTACTCATTGATTCGTCCAAGTATCATGCTGTTATATTTAAGCATTTGTACAATAGCACGTCAAATTAAAAATTCCATTCATCTGTCTGATAGCTATGTCGGCTTATCCATTCAATATCCGATGTCCAGTAAATGTGCAGTATCAGATATTCTCTGGCACTAAGTTGTTTATTTAGTAGCTAGGTGCTGCATACAAAGACGAAAATCTCTCTGAAGATTTCTTTTCAACACCTAAATTTTACCATATTTGCATTTATCAACATCACCTTTTTGAACTGATGTCGTGCTCTTAAACATTGTTCACCTGAATCTTATTTTATATTATTTAAGTGAATATCTTTGATTTGACTGAATGATATTCGATCTAAAGAAATCCTTCTTTGTGAACTTGTGACTGTCAGTAAGTAACTGGTTGTAAACGCAATTGATTTTTCTCCTGAGGTGGACTTGGATATCAACTTGAAATGCATTATACTTAAAAATGCAAATCTCCTTTATTAAATTAGTGAGACGTAAAGAAAATGCTGCAATGCTGGCACTTCTCAAAAAATAATTATGGGTAGTTTAGAAGCGTGTCACTGTTGTTTTGTCTTTTAGATGGATTTGGATAATGCGATAAGAAGACGGAGGCTATGAAAATTATGCGATATATATGCGTAATACATTTTCGAATAACCTGACCATACATTTATTTATTAAGACATTATAGATCAACTGGAAAAAATAGAAGATAAAAGGAATAATGATCTTATGTGACCGTTGGAATTCATTTGTTTCTTCAGATTACGATTACTGTACGTACATGTAAATCTATAGATGCAATGAGATGTAACACAATCGTTCACATGCTGCCTTAGTTCTTGGTGATGCAAAGACCTTGGGTTTTTGATGAGGATGAGTTAGGCTGCATAAAATGTCTTATTGATAGCCAATTTAGGCCTTCAGTTCAGCATAAGTCAATCTGAGTCATCTCTGAATAATAGGGTAGTAAAGACTCGTTTCTTGAGGTTAAATCATATAGCTACCTTTCTGACGGTTTATAAACTGCAATGAATAACAGTTACTTATCAATGTCAGTAAAGAGCATTACAATGTATCAGGTTAACTGTATCCTCGTTCATCAGATCATCATCCATGTCCATTTTAATTATTGATAGTAAACTTCAAAGAGTCACCTTCAGTGCATTGATTGTAACACGATACATGTGAGTAGAACTAGAGTTTCACAGTACTTTATTGGTAAATTACCACACACCGTTCGATCTTTTAACAGTAGAGTGAATAACTGTTTATGATCGTTTTATACGATGTTCGACCCTTAGAAACTTCGTAAAACAGTGTGTATAGAACAAGATGACTGACTAAATAATAACAAAATTATCATAATAAAACGGATAAATAGTAAAATGTGCATATTTTAAACTGATTCACCCTCGGTAGAAATGGATTATTTAAATCTGGACAGCTGTTGACTGATATATAGTTAGCTAGTAAAACTGTAATAGAAACTACAAACTATTGCCATAGAATATAATTTTAATTAAACTAATTAATAATAATAGAAAGAAACGAATGACATATATAGTATAATTAATGAATTACAAATTGATTAGTGAAAAATTACGAAACTAGTTTATAATAAGAATAAATCATAAATAATGAATTAATCAAATCACACTGACCTATCCACATCATATTTCGATACAGAAAATTTAATTATATTGAGGTCATTATTTCATATGTAATAAGTCTAAGGTTTCCTATCAATACTGGTAATACATTTATGCATAACATAATAACAAAAATAATGCACATAAGGTATAAAATATCAGCATGATAGAATTCATTCTATCATAATATTAATAATAATGATTACAGTTTTCTAATGAATTTATGCAGATAAATATTACCCGAGAACACTAGTCATACATCAATGTTATGCAATGAAATTAATCAATAATGCTGTAAAAAAGAAAAGTTACACAATGGAAAGACTTACGTGATCTCATGTGCAAGTTTCTAGTATGATCATCATGTGAACTTTTGGCATTATTTAATAAAATAGAATTCTGATTGTGTTGATGAATATGTTGAATAGGATTAGTTATAACATTATTGCTGTTATTATTATTACTACTGTTAGTAGTAGCAGTAAATGTAGTGGTAGTAGTTACTTTTGTTGAAGCAATATGATTGTGTCTACCATTCTCAAGAGCATAATGATGATTATGATGATGATGATGATGATCAGTCCTATTATTATTATTATGATTATTATTATTATTGGAATTTACTACTGACTGATGAAGAGAACTTTTTGGGCTTTCATAAATAGGTGACTCTGTAAATAAATGTTGATTTCGTTCCATTAACATGCATGAATCGTTGGTAGGTTTACATTTAGACACTGGAGTATTCATTTGAATCTGTATTCTTTTAAAGTCTATCGGTGTTGTGTGACTATGTGATACATGATCATTGATATTTAACTTTGCCCAATTAGGTGTTTTTAATTCTTGTTGAAATAGAATTTGATGTGCTCTTATAAGTTCAGTGACTGTATGATTAATGAGTTGTGAGGCTGACATTTCAATATGTGGATCTTCTTCTTGTTGACGCAAAAAATTCGGTGCAAACATACTAGCTAAACTAGCTATCGACATTCGATTTAGTTTTTCATGTTCAGATACCTTAAAGTAAAAATGAAATAAGCCATGAAATAAGTGGAAATAAATGATTCATTCCACATGCAACACTGCTATTAAATTATTCCACAGAAGTTTTTTCTCTCTTAAACTCACTTATATAATTTATAGTGTAGATATCACTTCAATTATTTATATATACAGTTTATTTTATTTTGAAGAAATCCATGAGCTTTCACCATTTTCATGCAAATCTTTAAAGCTAATAAACTAAAACCATAACAGTTCAATGTATTGTGTTTACCTACTATTATTTTCACGTAACTAGTACGATTCGGTGATTGACTAATGCTATTCAAATCATGCATTTATAACCTATTCTTGACATTTTGCCTATCGTTCGATTACCTCAAGGAATTCAGTTTGATAAATACATCCACGCTTTAATATTTAGATATATAAGCTTTGTTAGATTATAACATCATAAGTAGAGAATTATGTAAAGATATCATTTAGAGAAAATAACCTTTTTCAACAGATAGCTTAAATAATATGTCAGAGGTTTTACATGCTTAATATTGACGGACAGCTTAAAATGCGGGCTAGATAAACTATGCACGCGCTTCCAACCCATGTTATTCATAGTTTAACTATGCACATTGTGATAAATGAAAGACAATTATTCATTAGACTGATAAAAACATGAAACCAGCTGAATCTTTCTTTAATCACATTAGATGAGCACTACCAAACAGAATATAACAGCAAATACCATGTTTCTCGATTTCTAAGATTTGTCCAGTTAGATTGAATTCTCTCTTATTTAAATGATATATGCAATCTATCATGTGTTTTGATGGTCAGTGTCAATATAGGGAAAGTGGAAGTGTGTAATGAATCAGCCTAATGAAAAGTCTTATAGTTCTATTGTTAATATATATTTTAAAATGTTATTTTGATAATTTTTAAATCAAAGCGAATTTTGTGCAGAATTTTTAAAGATTTGTTTTTCATCTTTTAGATACAAGCATACTAAGGAGAGAGAAAACAAATTCTATTTGTGCTTTAAACATTGTGATGTAATAAACTTTAGATCATTAAATAAAGTTTTGCTTTCAATTATATTTTTACTGCGATTGTGTAATGTGTACAAAAGGAAAAAACGGTAATTATTCACTACTCTCAATTCTATTTCACTAAACTTCATTTATTGATCAAACAATGAGAATAGGTGGTTGGTCTGAAAAATGTGATGCATTTGTGTTAGACATTTCGAACAATCTGGTCACACTTATACCAGTTCAAGACATCTTACTGAAAATGAATAAAAGGACTAAACCTACGATTCCACATGGGCCTAGACAATGCTCGAACAATTACATCACATCTCGTTGCATTTATCAGTTTACGTGTTTGTGTGATCATGAGAAGGAGTAATCAAAAGTTATGGAACATGAACCTAAATGGCTTCAATATCAGTTAATGTCAGATGACCCAATAAACGTGGGAAACAGAAAACCATGTTCATTGATAGCAAAAACACAGTTGAAACGGGCATTAGATTGACATCAAAACAGCCTTTACGACATTGTATAAAAATGTTCAAGGACAAATTCTGAGGTTCGTGGACACCTTGGTTATCAGTCGATTCGAACCCTACTCATCTGTACAGAAAGAGTTTGTTATAGCCTAAAGTAATGTGACAATTTCCTATTCTTTCTAAATTATGCTATTATTACAATTATCATCTTATGTTTATTTGAACTTGTATTGACTTTCATATTGCATATTATGATTAAACAAACTCTGTTGACTATGTATATTGGAGAGCAATACAGGTACTTTTGTAAACAAACAAGTTTTAAGTAGCGAAGCAAGCAATTTACAACATTACTGCATTTTAAGATAAGTTAATCTCTCGTTATCTTAGCACAATGAACAAGATTATTTGTCAAATTTTCTGAGAACAGTAACCTACGTTCATTCAAACTTTAATTTATTATTTTATAAAAATTCAAAGCAGACTATATACAACGTTAATAGTTGTAGGAAATCTCTCTCCATCGGTAAATGATGGAATAAAAAAATGTTACATTAAATGGAATGTTAAATTTCTATTAAATGTGTACATACTTATGTATATATATATATATATATATATATATATATATATATATATCACTTGTCCCTAAAGACATAAACTTCACCGAAAAATTTCAAAGATACCTGGATTCCATGCGAACAAAATATTTACCCCGTTTTATATTCTACGGATATTAGTGACTATGTTGACGTAAACAGTGTTAAGTATGTGATATTTCAGACATAAATAAATATTACAATAACCCAAAGGAATTAATTAAAACACTGTTGATTCTTTTACAGAACTAAATATTTTCACAAGTCCGAAATTTGGTAATAAATAACCTAGTTGCTAGTTGCTAAGCTCCGCCCACGTTATCCTGTAGATTTTTCTGGCAAGATTCAAACACTGATAAAACTGAATGGCTTTCCTTTGAATTTAAACTTAAACAAATTAGACAGAAAGATAAGACTTAAACTAGATCTGATCTTTTCCTTCGAAATACTTAATAATCTATCATTGACATTCGATTTAGCGATCCGATATATAGAAACTCCTAGTTATAACTTCCGTAACTCTTTGTCATTAGCTACACAATCTCACTATAAATATTCTCTTCATATGAATTATTTTACCAGTAAATATTCGAGACTCTGAAATTATTTACCGCAATCTATTCATGAAATAAAATCTTTCACATACTTTATTTACTGGCATCGATTCCTACTACACTTCTAAGAACGCCTTGAATGTACTTACACCGGTAAGTGTATCCCATTCAACAAGTGAGACTAAAGAAAGCCTAAATGTTTGGTCGTTTTATTACTGAGCCTACAATTCAACCTACTTGCTGGCAGATACTTTGCCTGCAAATTTAACTAATTCGAATAGTATCTCACCCGAACATTAAAACATAAAATAACCTTGTAACTGAATTATGATAGACTTGATAGACCTGACTGACCTATCATTGTAATCATTGCTTTCGTTGTTCTACGCTCTCTGTGTCGGTTTTTTTCTCTCTAGTTGTAGACGATTTTAAACAATCCGATATGGCATTAGAAATGATAACCAATACATTTTCTAATCAGTTACAGGATGTCTAATTACAAAAGAATCAATAGTTCTCGACAGATGCTTTGCAATGATGTATGTAATACATGTGGGAAATGTGCTTATTAAACAATTTTCGAACTGGAACAATTCAAACAATGCATATTTATACCCTAGATTAAATATTTATTTCTATATCAAACTGACCATGTCTGTAAACCAGCATGAATTCAATAATGATTATTTTCAGAAAATATCACTATATTTATTAGTATCACTATCACTGACACGAGAAGATTTGAATTGCATCAATAACATGTAGAATATTTCCAGACTTATTTACAAATTTGGACTACAGCCAAAATATCTCTTAGTGCAGTCTTTTGATAATTGTCAAATTATGAAATTCAATAAAGGTCTCTTTAAATGTCACAGTGTTAATATCATTAATCCCACAAATATTAAGAACTTTTTTGTATCAATTGTGTCAAACTTCATTTACATTAAGTTTTTCGGTTGGTTTGATAGAAACGTTTTGCACAAAAAATAAACAATATTCATATCTTGTGATTCATTGAAAATCAGATCTCATTGTCTGCATTAGCTATTGATTTCGTGAATTATTTTTGTCAGATAAGTTTTCACACAATGATTAGTGAATGTGTTTATTCCTCTTGCATAACCATGTTTAATTGTAAGTTGAAATGATGAGCTAGTAAATTTTATCATACATTGAATTCACATATATACATTGTGAGATAAGGTTATCAATTAGAACAATTTTAAATAGCAGTAGAAATTTTCATTAAATCATTGATGAAATAAACTAATTTAAGCATATATACATATGATAAAATAATAATTACCTCATAAAGGAATTGACATAAATATTTGAGTAGATTATAATTCGGTGATGGTAAATTTTCAAATAAATGAATATAATCAGATAATTCTTGTCCATCAGCGATTCGATAACCAGCAGCTTTTAATTTATCATAATATTTATATGGTATCACTGGTTCAGGTAATTCTCTTAAATAATATTTCAATAATCCTGACACAAGATGAACATCATGTTCCGTAGGAATAAGAATTGGTCCTGGACAAGCTAAATCATATAAATCAGCTAATGATTGAATTGCATTTTGTTTGCCACATTTTCTAATCAATAATCATATAATGAAATAAAATTATTATTATTACAAATAACAATAATCATAATCATAATAACCATATCGAAAGTACACAATATAAACATAATTTAATAATATACAAAAATAATAATCTGACACAAGAATGTTTATCAACACGATATGAGTTAGTCAGTAGATATGAGTTTCAAGGATGTCATCTGCAAATCTTGTAACTAATTTTCAACTATTTATTATATATTAATGTTTTTTTAAAAGGATCTCCTCGAATAAGTTAGTCAAACAAGAAACTAAATGTATCAAATGTCTATATTTTAATACTGTGAAAATGAGTTTAAATTCAATTAAATTCACCGTTTAACCATTCCTTTTCACGGTTTAACTACGATTGATGTATTAAATATATCTTTGTTGAATTTCGTCTGTGCGATTCCAATAATTTTTAGTCAGTCCTTTAAATTATAAAATTTATTCGAACTCGGGTTTGTTTAAATGATTTAGTTATAAACTGGGTAATTAATTACTAAGGTTAGGACAATTTTTACTGAGTTGAATGTTCTTTCACATTAAAAAATCAACAAGTACTTCTCTACGACACATAGAACATTTGGAAAATTATTTATATAACCAAATGTACTTTTGCTTTCATCTAAAATGAATACTTGAATATTATTGAGTAGTATATTATATATACTCTCAATCAGTTACAATCTAGAACTTCGTACGTACATACATCAGTTCAAGTTGCTGTTGCGTATGCAAGTATACACGTCATTTGATATACTTCAACTACTGTGAGTTTACCTTAGTTGGAAAACGAGGGCGAGGATCGAGGATCCGGTGACGAGACAGGTTACTCTAATCCAACTGTCCCACCCCCGTTGAGTAAATGAAGAAGACTTGATATGAAGTAGAACATGTATTCTAAAAGCATTCAGAAAGCGCGAGGTCCGAGTCCAGAAGAGGATGAAGATCTCGGACTAGGGATCAACGTCCGGGTCATAAAACGTTACAGATTATAAGTATTTATACAGTTAGGTCTAATAGGAAACAACCTTGAAGTCTGTGACATTAATAGCTAGGACAACCATAATATTGACCAGTAAGAATTTACCAATAGAGTTAGAATAACAAAAATAGTTCTCTTAGGATATTTGATGAATATCCTAACAGTTGCCATACCACATTAGCACAGAGATAAAATTGTCAATTCAAATCCTATAGTAGTAGAGGCACTAAAAGTATTAGCAGTAATCAGAGAGATTATGGATAGAAGATATCATTCAAGAAGTATAATTCAGTTAAATAAATTCAGAAAGATAAAGATAAAGGTGATGAAGAATCCAGAGCATTAGGATTCGAGAGAAGCCAAAGTATGGATGCACCTGCGCCATTGCGAATGATTTTGAGGCATGTAATTCAAGATCTCTAACCATCAGTTAGTATCATCTCGCAGGCCCCAACCAGGTAGTCAACACCTATCAACATGACTCGATCCCCTTGTCAGTGATTTCGAGGATTTCTGCCATGTTTTGGTTTGGCTACACCTAGCTTTCTTCCAACCTACTCCTACACTACAAAACATAGCTCGTCGAGGCAGTCGGTGGTTGGGCATTCGTAACACATGTCCCAACCACCTCAACTGATAAAGTTTCAATACTTCTTCTGTTGACCTGTCATCCTTACTTAGTACCCGTTTTCTAACAACAGCATTTCTTACTCGATAGTCCCAGGGTACACGAGCAATGCTTCGGAGACATCTACGATCATAAACAAGTAACCTACGAATATCTTCTACTCTCACTGGCCATGTTTCACAGCCATATATTAGGACGGAGTGGACTGCTGCGCAGAAAACTCATCCTTTGATTAGCAGACAGATATCTCGCCTACTCCATAAGCAGCGCAAGTTGGCAAAAGCCAGTCAAGCCTTCTGTATCCATGCTGAGATTTCGACAGACACCAGATCATCAGCACTGATGAGACTCCCGAGATAAATGAAGCGGCCAACATGATCAACTGCTTCACTCCCTGTAACTAATTCAGGTTCCAACGCGAGCCAATCCTCAAGCGAAATTTTGCATTTCGGTGGAGAGAATCGCATCCCAAACATGATTGCGTTGTCAGAAAACTTCATTTTTTCAGCATCACCGAACAGAACTATGTCATTGGCATATTCTAGGTCAACGAAAGAATTTCCTGGTAAAAGTTTAACCCAGATAATGCTGATTCCACTCTTTATCATGTTCAGAGCCTGACGAGATAAGTTTTTGAGCATCCATCAGACCGGTAGATGCTACAGAAATATACCACCTCCCCCAACATTATAGTCTACCTTGCTAGCAGATATCACTGCTGTTTCCGCAGCTTTTTGGATATCATTCCAAGCTGCCTCGTGGTAAGCATCACTTACTACATGGCTGTCTAACTATTTTTCTAGTTGTTCCTGAAAAATATTCTTATTTTTGCTATCATCAGGTAGAACCCCGAGATATTTTCTTACAGTGATATTTTATTCTATTTGAAATGACTAACGATATCAACTGCTTAGTGATCTTGTATTGATTTCTTTGAGTATAACAACAGCAATTATTTGTATATGTTACTGATCCACTCATTCACTTACCCACAAACACATAACCGTGTACTAATTTACAAGGACATTTTGTAAATTGTAATTTTGGAGAGGTGATTTTGTACTACGGCCATGAAGAAGAAAATGCTTCACATACACAAGGACTTGCATTGATGCTATAAGAAGAGGCCCAAAAAGCACTTATAAGGTGAGAATCTCATGGATCCAGGCATCCTTCAGTATGAAGAAAGAGGGGGTCACGATGAATGTCATTCAGTTTTATGTACCCACAAGGAAGACGGTAAAGTTCAATTCTACGGGAAGCTGAATTCAATCATCGATAATGCCCAGCATAGGATTCGACCATTCTGATTAGAGACCTAAACACGGAGGTTGGAATGGACAACACCGGTTGTGAAGACATCATGGAACAACATGAACTGGGACAAACGAACGAAGACAGTAAGGGGTTCTCAGACCAATGTGCCTTCAACAAAATTATCATAAGCGGCACCATATTCCCACACAAAGGTATACATAAGGTGACATATGTTTCGCCAAATAACAAAACGGCGAACCAAACTGATCACATCTGCATAAATGAAAAGCTAAGAAGGACAATTGAAGACGTAAGGATAAAACGAGGAGCTGATATTGCTTCAGGTTATCCCTTGGTAGTGTTCAAGATGAAGGTGGAATTAAAAAAGCACTGGACAACGGAGCGGACAACATCACAATGTTTAAAACGGCCTTTCTTCGGGATATTGGAAAGCTCAACGAGTCTACGATAGCCCTCAGCAATAGGTTTCAAGCCTTTCATGATATACTCAATGAGGAGGAAACTACCGTGCAGAACAACTGGAAAAGGAATGGAGAAACAATAAATTCAGCAGGTCATGAGTATCTGGGAAATAAGAAGCACCATCACAAGGAATGTATCTCTGTTGGTACCCTTGAAAAAATTCAAGAAAAGAGGAACAGGAAGGTTGCAATCGGTTTTAGTTGAACAAGAGCAAAGAAAACGAAGGCACAAGCTGAACACACAGAAACAAGCAAGCAAGTGAAGAGGAACATCACAGCTGAAAAACGTAAATACGTAGATGATCTAGCATTGATAGTAGAAAAAGCTGTAAGAGAAGAAAATGTGAGACAACTTTACGACAAAGTGAAGAAGCTCTCTGGAAAAAATCATGAACAAGAACGATCAGTAAACAACAAGGAGGGCAAAAGGACCGCCTAAGTTCAGTTGTCCCAAATGCCTCGATATAGATAAGAAGGAAGAGAATTCACTTTTCCTCTAGAAATGCTCTCATGCGGCTATGTGTGCATAACCACTGTCAAGGAATTTCTACTTACTGCCTTTTTGTGGTTAGGGTGTTGTTCATGAAATTAAGAGGATAAAAATCAAAAATCTGGAGCTTAAACCGGGTTGATGGATACGGAGGAAGTTAGTAAATCATAATTCTTAACTGAATGTGCACGCCAGCCCTAGGATTCTTAGGGAACAAGTGGCGTATAAACCTATTTTTAGTCAGTAGTTCCCGGAGAGCTGCTAAGTCTTTTTGAACTATGAAAGTATTGATAACTACAAAATAAGTTGATTTATTTAATTAGATTCATTTTGTAATATTTGTAAAAGAGTTAAAATTCAATCACTAAGTATGTTTAGTGTTTTATACATACACAAATACGCACCCTCCCTTGATCCTATGGCTATTTGTCTTCAATGTAATCTTTTACCCCGATGACATAGTCCTACTTGGTGAAGACGCTGACAAAATGCAGAGTCTTATGACCACTCTAAGCAACTATGCGAGCATGTTCGGGATGCGGTTTTCCCCCTCGAAATGCAAAATGTTGCTTCAAGATTGGGTTTCATCGGCACCTGAACTAGTGATAGGGAGTGAAGTAGTCGAACGTGTAGACCGCCTCACTTATCTTGGGAGTCTCATCAGTGCCGATGGCCTGGTGACTGACGAAATCTCAGCTCGGATACAGAAGGCTCGATTAGCTTTTTCCAACCTGCGTCACTTAAGGCGCAGGCGAGATATCCGTTTGCTGATTAAAGGACGAGTGTACTGCTCAGTAGTTCGCTCCGTCTTACTTTATGGCTGTGAAACATGGCAAGTGAGAGTAGAAGATATTCGTAGGTTACTGGTTTTCGATCGTAGGTGACTTCGAAGCATTACTCGTATATCGTCGGACACCCGAGTCAGCAACGCTGTTATTAGGAATCGGGTGCTACGTAAGAATAGCAGATCAATAGATGAAGTAATGAAACTTCATCAGTTGAGGTGGTTGGGACATGTGTTGCGTATGCCTAACCACCGACTGCCTCGAAGAGCTATGTTTTGTAGTGTAGGAGTAGGTTGGAAGAAAGTTAGGGGTGGCCAGACCAAAACATGGCAGAAATCCATGAAGTCCATGAAGTTTTAAAATAAATGAAGACCGGATAAGTAGTTAAAACGTCGAATATACTGATAAATAAATACAATTTTTTAACTTATAACTGTATTTTTCTTAATTATTTATTTACTTACCAATTAATTATAATGTATGAATTAATTATTCAAAAGTAAAATTTAAAATATTTTTGTTTACCTAAAAATTCCTTCTGCGTCTAATCCATTTTCTCGAATAAATTGTACAGTTTCATAGACTATACGAGGTAGAAATTCATTATCACTTCTTGTATAAGGAAATACTTCATCCAAATGTGTCCCAAACAAGGCTAAATTAAATATCATTGAAAATAAATGCTAATTTTTTAAAAAAAATCACTTGCAAAGTAATCTAAACACATTTAGTTTTTTCTTAGATATTTCATAATATTATTACATTGACAATAAATGAATTCAGGGAAAGAACACAATGTCAACTGTCCCTAAGTGTACGTGCAAACAAAGCAGATTGAATAATCACGACAATTGTTTCATCCATTCACACCGAATAAATCTCAATAATGATTATGTAATTCAATTACAATTAGTTTTTCAAGAATACATTGATGATAATTAACTGATTAGATTATTTCTACGATTACAAAGGCACCTAGAAGTAAGGTTTAATCATTTGGAACCTCTAACTTATGAATTACTTAATCCACAATACATAAATTATACTTTAATTTATTTCATGTAAAACTAAAATGCTATCCTGTGTATAATGTTTTGTTTGACAATTTGTATGCAATTGTATGTTTTTTCAAAATTACATAATAATTTGATCAACTAGTTATTCTTCTTTATTTTCTTTGAAAATTTTTTTCATCAAACACATTGTGCACAATCATAATTTAGATACATATTATCAATTTAACTGATCGATAAGATGATTCCTAGTTTTTCTTTTTCATGATAGTGAATCATTTCATTAAAATTGATTCGATTAAACCTTATATATATATATATATATATATATATATATATATTCATATAAACAGTCAAATGTGCATACTGTACTCTATGTATGTTTTTTAAAATTAGTAGTAGTAGTAGTAGTAGTAGTAGTAGTAGTAGTAGTAGTAGTAGTAGTAGTAGTAGTAGTAGTAGTAGTAGTAGTAGTAGATTTGATTTATATTTCTGAATTATACTTATAAACATAACTATTTTAAAAAATAATTAATCTATGTGCATATTTAAACAAAAGTAGAAAGGTTAAAATAGACTGATTGTTAAAGTAATGTTTTCATTATGTTAGAAATGATTTCTAGCTACTTTATAAAACTATGACCAAATGTGAAATCTTACATGTTGAATTTAGATACTGAAGTACGTGATCATCAACAGTACTATGTAAGTAATGTGTTTTAAAGGTATGGTTTATTAGTTAAACTTTATTGAAAAGTTTGATTACTTAAAGCTTAAAAGTTGGGTATAAAAATAGACAATGAAACTGTATTCATTAAATTACTTTTTTTTACTTCAGTAGACTAAAATGACTTGTTCAGAAAACAGTGACTGAAAGATTTAATTTGATTTTTCACATCATAATAATTTATTTAATATATTTATTAATTTAGGGAGAAATGTGAATATTTTATCACTGAAAACAATGTGTTTGTATCTTTATTGCATCAAATAATATCAAACCCAATAAATGATTTCTGTCTTCTTGTCATCTATAACATTTTTGTCTTTTTGGGTAATACTAATGATAATAATGGCTCTGTTGATGTTTTGCTACAACACAGCATTGTCAGAACGGAATATTTCAACAAGCTCCCCTTATAAAACAAACAACAACAAAAATCGATAACTGTACACATTTATACATTTTTTTTTAAAAAACAGTAAACAGGCTATCTGGAATTGAAAAGAAATATCCTTTTTATATGGTGAGAACCTATACAAATTTTAATTGAGAACATGTTTAGGAATATAAGGTATCTGAATTAAAATCACCATATTTAATTGAACGTATACTACTGAAGGTAGTAACAGGAGATTAGATGAATTCATTCATTGGAGATGAGGTTACGGTCCGGAGTCACGTAAATGTTAGTAGTATAGACATAAAAGTAATTATTCAAATGTTTTGGATGGAAGCATATGGTCAGACAGTCTATAAAGTTGTTTGAAAACTTAAAACATGCAAAATCAAATCAGCACCAGTTCATGCTTACAAATGTAGCTACATCATATTCATTCTTAATTGCTTGTTCGATCCTGATGATAAATATGAAACTAGGCACTGATAACAAACAATTATCATCTAAATAAGTTAACTAGGATTCTTGAATTGGGTACACACCACAATTACCATACATGTTTAGATATATGTTTAGGAATTGAAGCTAGTCCATCTTACCGAAAAGTGATCGGTGGTTGGAGGTTAATAGTTCAGAAATCGACATATGGTTAACGTTCATTCATTTCTCAGTAGTTTGCCAGTCACCCTGATGTCTCGGTTTGTACTTTTTTGTACCTGATGAAGTTACAGCTCGTAAACTTTTTTTCATGCGCACCTGAATAGGTCATGAAATTATTCAACATAATTGACAAACAAACAAGCAAAGGTAACTTGTTGAAATATTTTGATGTTAGAAAACAGATAGCCCAAATATTCAATCTATTCAATTTCAAAAAAAGAAGTAACTACTGACTTTCTTTGGATATAGTTTCTAAAGAAAAAATTGGCACTGTATTCTACTCATACACCTTCAAAACTTTATTTTCATTATAATGATGATCTTTGTGAACCAGGTTGTTACAGCATTAATTATACATATTTCAGACAATTTTACATTTATTTCATACTACTAGTTTTATTATAATATTTATATTTTTAATAATCAAGTAGTCTATTAAATTTCGTTAAATTATTTCGGAATTTAGTTGTTAATTGTAAATATGTTAATTTATTTAAAATCGGTAGAACCACTGATTAATTTATATCAAAATAAAAGTTACTGTAAGCATGATAATTCTAATATCAATTCAATAAATCATAACAGTCTGCTAATTATGTACAATACGTACAAAAAAGCTGCACTTTGTAAACGACCAAATATTACACCTAAATAAAAATGAACTGTGGTTTTGCTTTTTGGAAGGCAATCAACTAGTTAAATGTATTTTTGTATTCATCAACTTACTTTATTTTCAAAATTAAATATAATTCATTTTTTGAAACCTTTTTAAATACTAGTTTATTAAGACAGCTGAAAAATAATGAGTATTTCAATTAAACTAAAATATGTATGTACTATAAGGTACAGTGTTAAATCATCTTAAGTATAAAAGTTTAAAATAGAATGGAAAGCACCCTGCAAATACATTGGAATTGAACAGTTTTTTCTGATAACTAGTATATTCATCTATGTCAGAATCAGTATTATTTTGACGGATTAGTCAGACAAAACCGGTTTTTCGTGAAATATTTATCCAAGTAATATTAAACAAACGTTTTGTCAATTTTTCAACATCATTTATGGATAGATCTGTAAGCAGTTTTGACATAGTAGTCAAAATCCGTCAAAATGATTCAATAATTAAACCTTCAACCTACATGAAACATCAAACCGTATCCAGTACTATTCTTAATTTTTAGAGTATTTAAGAATATGACTAAAATTTACAATTGAATGAATAAAATATAAATCAATAAACTAAAACAAAGAAAACTGACCACCACCATCATGTAGGTATAGGACTTTTCGTATAGCTCTTAACCATAACTTTCGCTCACGTGGATTAGGAGCACAGAGCACAACTTGTTGATGTTGTTGAGATTGTTGATTATGCTGTTGTGAATGACCAATATGATTTTGAGTATTTTGTAAGGATGGAGAACCGTCTTCATCAACAAACAGAATATAATTCATGAGAATGGAAAGAGAAAAACAGAAAATAAAAAATTAGTTCACCGACGTTGATTTTAAACTAATCAACAAATAAAACCACTGTCTACAACTCTTTTATTGATTAACTTAAATATTTATTTACATTTGATTGATAATTAACTCAATAAATCCAATTAGCGTTTAAACTGGAATTCTAAATTTGTCTACATCAGTTTAAACTGCAAAGCATAATTTATAGAGATACAAAATTATCATATTCACATTTCTCAAAACCTGATTAACTAGGAAAAGAAAGTTTCACTTCTTCAAATAACTACAATTATTAACGAAGGAGATTTGTAGCGTTTGTAGTATTTTCACGAAAACACTGCATGGCCATTGAGTTTGAGTATCACACTTATCAGAAGTACGCATCCACGACCCCTGCACATAGGTCATTATTGGTGCCTACACTAATTAGTCATTTTTTATGTTAACACACTAGGTCTTTTGTTTTTGCCAAATGTTTACAGACAATTGCCTTGATAATTATATAATTGATCAGTTTATCATAAATATGTATTCTAAAACAATCTGAGAGTTTTCGGATCAACTTCGATTTCTCTTTATACTATTCTTACAAAAAAAATCTAAAACACTTGATAACATAAAACAGAGAATCACTGGAAATAAACTAGAAATGTGCAAGTATTTTCTTAGACACTTGAAGTTGTAGAACGTAAATCATCATATTCCTATTTAATTTTATGTTTTACCTCACTCACTGATTCAAAGTCATTTAGAACCAAAAGTACTGGACAGCTGTTTTTTAGTGTGAAATTCAGCGGTGCTCGTCCACGACCACAAGAACCATGATTTCTTATGGCTGGAGCTTTAGGCCATTGGATCGATACCTACTGATTCACGTTTCTAACTTCAATCGATTTGTCACACTGAGCAAACTACTTTATAACTCCACCAATGTATAACTCTACTGATAGTAGCTTTCATTACAACTTTAAATAATACCTGTTAAAACCACTTACCGGTGAAGGGATGAATATTATTAGTATAAAGCCTTTGTAGACACTGCAAAACTTTATATTTTATGTTATGTACCGATCATGAAGCATCAGATAGTTGTTTCTTTCTGACTACATCACTAAATAGTAACTAACTAGTCATAAAACCGTACAATAATCAGTGTTAGCTTAAATATTAACGAGATTGTACATCACTGAAAAGAGCTATGTAATCTTTCTCCGAATTACAATGGTCATCCAGTCAGTATTATGTAATGAATAACTATTTAAAATATCAACTATATTCCATGTGCATGAAAAGTCATGCACATTGATACATTATCGATGAATTACGAAAAACAACAAGTTTACCAACCATATAAATTTTCTGAATTTGAATTACACGCACTACTTATTTATTTGTATTATTCTAATCATTTTACCATTTTTATACAGTCCACTCAATATTATATTTACACTGAATTCAGTTTACGTGACAATTTATGTATTTCTGAAATATTTACTGATGACGGGACTCAAAGCAATATCTTCCGTTTAAAATGGATGCTACAGTAGTACAGTGTAATGAGATTGTTTATAATATTTGAAAATATTGATCTATAGTTCATCAATACAAGTTTTCTGCTTAAATATATCACTGTTAATGCTTTGAATGTTAAAATTTAATGAAACTGATTGAAAGTTTAGATTTAACATCACCTCTATTAAGAATATAAATTGATTTTGTACTTTAAATCCAGAAAATATAAAATCTAGATTCATCATCAATCTATCAAATACATTTATTAGTCTGTAAACAATAACAATGTCAATAATACAATGCGTGGGAGAAAAGATTTTGATTTTGAAAAAATTAATAGTAAAATATCGTAATTAGAAAACTTACTAATTTTAAGTAGTAATAAACATGATTTATCCCCATTATACTCTAAATCACCAGTATCAGATTCTATTTGTGCGAAATCCAAACAAAATTCACCCAGAAGTTTTTTTCTGTCAGTTCCAGTATAATAGTAAAGATGTGTATCAGTCAAAACATAATATCTTTCTTTCCAAATTTTTAGCTTTCCACCAAGTTTTTTCAACCATCCTTGATACTTGTCAGGTGACTTTATGGCCTCTGAGTTGGCTTGTAACTATTATATAAACAGTAAAATGTATTTATTTTAAATTCAATCTATCATAGAACCGGTAGACATACGAATATTCTGTTTTAAGGAATTCAACATTCTAATGGTACTAACCATCTTAGATTTTGAATAAGGCGGTCTGAAATAAAGTTAATCATTAAAAAGTTGGCTTATGAATAAACAAATCTATATATCATTAAGTTACTTGCTGAATATGTGAGTATACAAGTAGTGCCAATGATTTTGTCATACTTTATAGTATCCAAATTAAAAAGGTAATGAACTTCATGTCATATCAACTTATATGTTTGGATAAATTAAGACAAATCACACCTACTGGAGGAAATTATTAAATTACTAAGTACTGCTGTGTCCAATACAAGCACGCAGTGAGCACGTAAAGGAACAGTTCTGTAAAATTTAGGAAAGGTCAACCTTGTTCCCATTAAAATACTCCCCACTCGCATATATTCATTAGTCTTTTCTTCATATGAACTGTTAAAAGCATCCTTGAAAATTCTTCGGGGTATAGCTTTTCTGTTATCTCATCGTCCTACACCTTGATGTCTCTTTATCGTCTTAAGGTCACCCCGCCACATGACTATTTTGAATTTTGAAAACGAAAAATTCGTAGAGGAGCTAAGTTTTGGTCAAGTTACCCTAAATTGTGTTAAACAAATGTCTTCTAAACTGATATTGCCTGTTTATTAGACGAAATATAGGAAATTACAATTCACAGCATAAAAACAAGTAACCAAGGTCAGACTGTTTCAAGGTGGTAGATTTTTAAGAAATATTTGATTGATCGTTTACTTATATATGCTTATGAATGACAACCTTCATAGCAAAATTCACGTATTCACTGAACTGAACACACATACACAAATTTTTAATCAATCTTATGCAGTTTAAACAAATAAAATGTGGTTGATCTGTTTACTAGTTAGTGTGAAAATGCTTATTTTAAGCAGAAACATTGTTAAAAGGTTAACCAACCGATGTCATCACGAAATGAATCATATATTTGTCAGTAAAATACAATAGTTTTCTATTGTATTTTACCCGAACAAATATGTGTAGTAAATATCAAATAGCCGAAAAAAATCTACAAATACCTATTCAGTAAATATATAAGCTATTCATTCTATCTATAGAATGTGTATTTGATTGGCATTATTTAACTATCTTTTATCTAATTCATTGTAGTTTTGGCTTTCATTCACATTCTGAAAAATATTTTCATTCATCTTCTTGTCTATAACTTTCTACTCCATGTGAACTTCATGTGAAACCAGAAGAATACTATTGGTTTTCATTTATTTGTACAGCATTATTAAGATCTTAGGATAACATAACGGCTATATTGTATCACATAAAAAAGTAATAACAATATATAATATAGAACCCAAGTCATACCCTGAATCTCAATGTTAGACACAGAAATTAATTTTTCCTAAAATTCTGTTTACCGTTATATTTGACATAAAATTAAAAAAAAAAACATCGATATTATTTCAGTTAAAAGAAGTAGAGCAGGATTAATAACATAAGCTAAATTAAAACTTTACTTCTTGCTTTTGTCATAATTTATTCATATTTAACAATGTTTAAAGAAAAATATCAATGAAATAAGTTATATAATTTTATTCAGTGTTGTAAAATGTCTGCCTTCTCTTCTTTGCTAATGTAAAAGATTATAAGTGATCGGTCTAGTTCGGTATATTTGAATCCGAAAAGAATCACACTGATACTGCCATATGGTCGTAAGTTTTTAGTAAAGTTAGGTACTGACTAACAGCGGAATATATGTAGCGTGTTTAGTTACCAGACTAATCTTAGTCATTAACATCAACGACTGTAAAAAAGAAGCTTCCTGAGATAATCAATAACAATTCACCCCCAATGCACAAGCTAGTAGTTATCTGAACTAAATAGCTCATTAGAAATCGTACTGGGAGTTTGATGCAAAAGCTACCATATTTGATTCCCAGTAAAAACATCAACACAAGGATGGAAGTAAATCAAGTTTAAAAGTCCTATATAGGATGAAAAGCTCATTATAGACTATGCAGATAATGTCGAGTCAAGTTCACCAAAATACTTTTGTTACTGAACAATGGGTAGAGAATAGGAAACTGGAAAAAACGGCATTGTGAATATTTCACAAATAGTTGTGAACATTAATTTTACTTTTTTTTATGAATCCATTACTGATTGATTATTGTAAAGTCTTTAAAAAGATATACGGATAAATACTGTTATTATATGAAATGGATAGCAATTAGGAAAATAGTACTGATATACACAGAGAAGATAAATAACTGAAAAGAGGCGATAAGTAAATATGAATACAGAAAATAATATCAAATTATTCACTATTTTTCCAGACAATAGTCAATCTTTGATTGGATTCGTTATGTCAGCTGATTTTTTCTAAAGGAAGAAATCTCTTGTATGCCATTAACAGATTTGTATTTTCTCTTGACCATCTCTGCATTAAATATTTTCCGTTTAATCATTAACTTTTATCAACAAATGTTCTTCGTTATTTTCACATATTCCATTATTAATGAAATTTTTGATACTGTTGTAAAGTATTTGTTAGGTTCGTCACTAGGTATGCTTGAAACTATTACGAGTTTACCTTAGTCGATAAATGCGAACGAGACAATGAACCAGCATCCAGGTAGGCTGACCTGATCCGAAACGGCTAAGAGAAGTCTTGGTATAGCGTAGAAAGTGTATTCTACAAACACCCAGCAAGCATAATGCAATCAAGCACACAACTCTCGTTTATTTATACATCATAGAAACGTCCTTGGGACAGTCAGAAAAGTAGCACACTAAAATACACAGCAGCCAATCAAGGCCAAGGATTTTCCTGGTGGGAAATGAAATCTCAAGGTCATGCTCGCAAATGTGAAATCCACAATAAGGGATTTATCAAGCGAATTCTGGGGATCTAACGTCCCCAACAGTATTGCAACTTCCGTAAACCAACTTTAATATGGGCTACTCTGTTAACAAGTACTGTTTGTTTGTGTCTAAATCGGCTAGGTAGTAAAAGTAAACTATAGAAAACTTTAGTGGATATTTTATAGCAGAAAACACATCTATATCTTAATATGATTTGTTTTTATCAGTAAAAATGAAGTTACACATTCGAATAAAGATGATTCTTGACAGGAACTCATTCAATTTTAACTGATCATTGAGATTTATTTTTTTATAGTTAGATCTGTGAAACAACTTTTACTTCCTAGTTTCTCCTCAGCTTTCTTTTCATCATAAACTCAACGTTTGTATTATTTCCTTTTAATTTATGAAATTGGGTTAATGAGTAAAATACTAATTCATCTTACTGCAGCACACTTGTTCTACTTTCTTTTTACAAAACAAATAATGATGTCAAATCTTTGTTCAGTAGTATGTCATTGTGTTTTCCGAAAAAGATTAACTTTCTAAATACTTTATGTCGCTACTTTTTTTCAGATGTCATGAAAATAAAGTAACAAAACAATAAGATATGTGTACAGACATATTTCTACGAATTTTTCTTTTCATTATTGATAGACTTACATTTTCATTCACTGAAGTAATCATTGTCTTACGATATGAAATATTTAAAAGATGATTAAGTAGAAAAATAAACAATAGACATATATATATAATCGATAAGAAAAGAGTTCACAAATTCCAAGATAACGAATTCCTAGAAAACGATAAAATAGATGGACTCATTCATTTTAGTTTTCACTTTTTTTCTTCTTTTGAAATAGAAAATGGTCGAAAAATTGACATTAAGACTACAGAGGAACGAGCATTGGAACAATATTTATAAGCTAATAGATACTAGTGATCAATATATTCAGTTATAATGAATACCTCTATATTAAGATGGAACTGAAGGTACTTCTATGGTTTATCATCTATGAGTATTGATTTCTTCATCCACTAATGAGAAGAGACAAACTTAACTACTATTAAATTAAAAATTCTATTTATGTGCTCAACAATGTATATTTATGAAAAATAAATAATGCATTTACATAGAATCGATGGAATATATAATCAATTAACAATATTCCAAAGCAAAAGACATTTAATATTATTGAAAGAAATGTATTAATTATCAGCATTAAGAATAACATGAACTCTGCATGTTTGAGCGCATATGTAACACTACAAATGAGATAAATCATCCTCACAATATACAAAATGAAGCTTTCTTCTAGTTAAAAGTTCAAATAACAAATGATCATATATGGAATATAGTGAAATAATAAACTTAAAATAGATGAATGTCTCTGTACAGTACCGCAATTTAATTACATTCAAAATTACTTACAGTTTGAAAGTACCTCTCATCCAGTATAATAATACTAAGCAATGAATTACGGAACTCATTCGATACTCAAGCTAAATGTTATCATTCAAAAATGCTTTAAAGTTACATAGTCAACTTGTTGATTAATCATTCATTTAAAACCATAAATATTTCTATGCAAATTATCAATTACACTTTGAAAAATCATTGTCACATTCAAAACGAATGTTTTCTAGATAAAACAAGGTAGTCTCTTTTATCTACGTTTTCGATCAATTTTCATTTCAAATGTCTGTCACAAATTTTCAAATATACACAAAAATTTGTGAGGAAATAGATCTACTAATTTTAGTTAACTTTAGGCTTCACTAGTTTGCGACATGCTACGATAAAACTACAACAAATACGTAGACTGCATTTTTTTTAATGATGCTATTGCCTAAATAATCGAATATTTCATTGTCAAACTTGCTTAACATCACAATTTTTTTAAGATCGAATTTTGCTTTACAAATGTCATTGAATGAAATTGTGTGACCCTACTTTTTAAACTGAAACTGAATAGATTAACTTGGAAAATAGGCTTGCTTAGTTGATGCTATATCATAATTGTATAAGAAATATCTTATATGTGTATATACCAACTTCATCGAAATTTTTCTCATTGTATATTTTCAGG